GAAGTGCAATAGATAGTCACGTGACAATGGAAGATGGACCCTATGAAAGTCGTTTGAAATTCAAATCAGTTCCATCATGGCTTGGGTGTGTAAAGGGTGTTTGGAAAGCTATTTCGCCTTGAAATAGCAAAATATTATGGCATTCTCGAAAAAAAAAGAGTTGCTGTCCACTCGCAGGCTGGCCGTATTGAATTTACGGGTCAAGGTAAGAAATTATCGCTACGATATCCGGATGTTTGAAACGACCAAAATGATCGACCATATTCACAAAGCATCCGTAATTTTTGTGATATCAAATTAAACAGATGCCATGACACCTCGAGTTGCGGCAATACTAATTTAGGCAGCCGCACTATATTTACAAAGGAAAGTATAACAGAATTATTGACTAGAGTTCGTATCTGTCGGGGAAGTTAATAAAATTGTGGGGACCTCACTGGTTGTGCTTCAACTGAAATTCAAAAGTTGCCTCTCTACAGTCCACAAACCTCGTTGTCTCGGACCGTCTCGAATGTAAACAATACTGTGAGCTTTCTGCAAAATACAAAATACGGGGGTTTGGAAGGTATGCTACGTTTGTACTGCAAAATACCGCCAGGTGAGGGGTAAGGAAATACGTCCAGGGAAGGGGGTCCGGGTTGGGTCAGGTTACGTTACGTTACGTTACGTTGGTTAGGTCAGGTTAGGTTAGGTTGGGTTGGGTTAGGTTAGGTTGAGGGTTAGGATTAGGTTAGATTGGTTAGGTTAGGTTGAGAAATGTCGGGATTTTGGCAACACTGACACCGGAGCATCTCACAACGGCGCGCCGCAGGAATCTCGTTCGGATTTTGCATTTTTTTTTCTTAATTCACTTTTCATTCTGCTATTTTTTCCGTGTGTGTGCCTCCAACCCCCCATTCTCCACGGGTCACCCAAGAGTGAAGGGGATAGGAGAAAAAAAAAAAAAATAGGCGCGGCTGTCTTACTTAGATTTACCCGAGTTGCTACTGATCTAGGCTTCCCCGTAAGGTTGCTGTGGCTTCTGGAAATCGTGGGTTTTATACCCTCTCTGTTGCCGTCAATATCAGTTTGCGGAGAAAATGGTATAGAAGAAAACTTTCCCAGAATGATGTGTTCTACTATTTGGTAAGCTCAGATTCTTTAAATTAGGTGTGGGGTTTTATTTCCAGTAATACCCAAGATGAAGAAAAAAACAATACTTATAATAATGATAACTTAATTGCCCCGCCGATTCGCGAATAAATTAACAGTTGACAATAAATCAGAATGGGTTTCGGAAGTTTACTTGTCATTACTGATGTGTGATTATCATTTTTCCTTGATTCTGAAAGTTTTGGTCTTGTCAGAAGTTAATTCAGCCGTTTCTTATAATTTACTGATAATTTGAATTTGCTTATGCGTAAAGATTGTCTTTAATATGTCTTTATGCATTTTTTTCTCTTTGAAGATTAATCAGTCATGGAAATCAGAAAAGTTTAGAAGCACCTTATGATTTAACCTCAACAGAGCCGTCCCCTACATTCATATCGCTTTACTTTATTCAAAAATACATTTAACACCTGCCCGCCTATGCAACTTTACAATGACAGTAAACATAGGAATGACTTTACATTTAGATATACTAAATGTTTATTACCTTAGTTGCAATTACTGACATCATTATTACTATGTTCTTAGAATGGTCGTTATCAAAATAGAAGTAATTATCACTACTGTCTTCTGTCGGTAATATCACTGTTATGGTGATACTTTATCATAAATATTATTCTCTTTATGATTGTTAAAATGTTATGATACCGTAGTGCTCTCTGAAACGACCACAATTAAAATATTTGGTTCTAATAGATATGTTTTACGCGGTTGGACACGCCTGGCAGCGCTGTTCAGGATCAAGTTCAGTGTAAAGTAACACGTCTATTGAAACACTTATAAGAACGACGTCAAATCTCTTATTACATTATTACTATGCACTTAAGATTAAATTAAATTGACAGACGAAACAGTAAATATTTTCGAGAAAGGATAATTCACATACTTTTCTCGACTCCATCCAACAATTCGGTTATTGTGAAATGATGAGAAATATCGGTTTGTTCTTTCCTTCCTTGGCTCACTTAATATCTGTGTGCTTTACAAGTTAATGGTACAATCAGGTCTACTAAACGTATGATTTATGATATACGTTTTTACTTTCTTATACATCATCTTTTAAAGGAAGAAATTATCTTTTTCAAGGATATTAATTCAATACTTATGAAATGCATATTAACAAGGGTGATTGCCGTTTTATTGCTTATTTAAGGTAGATTGATGTTGCAGTTATATGACAGAAAAAATAGCAAAATCTGACCTCAATTGGTCCATACCCACTGTGACACAAGGAAAAGCATGGATATTGGCCATATAACATATGGAACAGGAGGCAGATCTAATTTTTGCAGGAAACCCAAATTCACTATTAGCATTAGCTTGTTCACCCTTTTGCTTGAATCGTCTATCT